TGTTGATGCCTTTCGTGGTTTCTATTTTTATATCCTATATGCAGCGTGAATGTTTTCCTGCCATGTAAATAACATGAATGAAGCAGAGCAGTACAGACAGACTCACAGAGCTGCAGCACCACTGAGTAATTATAATGCAGCTGCCTTGTCAGTTTTGATTAGAGGCTGGTTTGAGGCCGGTGCTCTGGGCACACGCAGACTTTCCGCACTCGTGAATTTGGCCTTATTCATTTCCACATGGCAATCGCGGCTAAGATCCAGGAGCAATGAAGGAAAACTAATTATTTCCTCAAAGTGCCGCCAACGCGCAGCCCACGGAAGGATATCCGGCTCGCTGGAGGATGTGGCGCCCCCTTTTGGCGACCTATGAAGGAACCACAGTTGGACCCTAACATCCCATTCCAATGAAAACCACCTTACTCCCTGCACAAACTCTTCAGGGACTTGAGGTCTTATGGATGGAAACTTCTGGCTGAGATTTTGCGAATCATTTCTCGAGCACCTGGATCTGCAGGTGACTCTGCAGCTTGTTGTGAAACAGTGAATGACTGATGGATGCTTTCACCACGAGAGACACGCATCTATGGCCATCGGGTTCCTAATTAGCCATCTTTACAGGCCGTTAGCTTCTCCCAAGTGTTTGCTACTGCTCCATCACAACGGCAGGATATGGCATACAGTCATTTCCTTAGTCACACAGCCAAACTGATTTATCATCTGAAAAACAAAGATATGAGATTAAAAACACACTCGTTTAAAATCCATTCCTGCTTTATGCAGACCTGTTGCTAATTTTCAGCTTATGTGCAGTGTTTAAAATCAGGATGCAGTTGTGAAGGTTGTGGCACCAGGAAAGACCCACCATTGTAATACTGTGTGCTCCATCTATTGTGAAATTCTCCCATTAAATATCCAGCTATTTAAAGGAAAGAGTCATATTAGCTTATAATGGTTTATCTTTTGTAAGATGTTGATATAGGACATCCATTCTTCCATATTCCAGCCTCCGAACCAGCACATGGTTACATGGTGCCTGGAAGCGGCACGGTGCAGGGGACACCCTGGATGGGATGCCAGCCCATCACAGGGCACAGGGCAGGGGACACCCTGGACGGGATGCCAGCCCATCACAGGGCAGGGGACACCCTGGACGGGATGCCAGCCCATCACAGGGCAGGGGACACCCTGGATGGGATGCCAGTCCATCACAGGGCACAGGGCAGGGGACACCCTGGATGGGATGCCAGTCCATCACAGGGCACAGGGCAGGGGACACGCTGGATGGGATGGCAGTCCATCACAGGGCACAGGGCAGGGGACACCCTGGATGGGATGCCAGCCCATCACAGGGCACAGGGCAGGGGACACTCTGGACGGGATGCCAGTGCAACGCAGGGCACAGGGCAGGGGACACCCTGGACGGGATGCCAGTCCATCACAGGGCAGGGGACACCCTGGACGGGATGCCAGCCCATCACAGGGCACAGGGCAGGGGACACCCTGGATGGGATGCCAGCCCATCACAGTGCTCTCACATGGATAGACCCACACTTCGAGCCATTTCCCACTGGCATGTTTTTGTTGTGTGAGGAACCCGGAGTACCAAGAGGAAATCCCACGCAACATATGGAGAACCTACAAACACATGGACGGCAGAGGAGGGATTCCAACCCATTCAACCCTGGAGGTGTGAGTCGGCAGAGCCGCCCACTCAGCCACTTTGCTTCCCTCAGGCAGACAACATATAAGTGATTTTACAAGTGTAGAATCGTAAGCTTGGCTTAAACACCATAGTAACATGATTAAATTAATTACAATATTGACTGAAGTAGCTCATAACAATCGAATCAAACTGCTCGTGTGCCATACTGCAGACAACAGATGGACCCACAGTTATGCAGAAACATCTGGGAAATATTAAGCTACACAATACCTTTTAGCGGTGGGATGAAAATGTAATGAAATGCGAAGAAAATGAAAATGTTCAATAAAACGAACCAGACTGTATTCCCAAAACATCAGTGGCTATGTAGGGCAGATTTTATTTAAAATATGTACATATGTTCAATTTATACGCAATGAGTATTTTCATCAACAGACCATCCATTCAAGGTAGTGCAATGAAAACAAAACTGTTGTTCATTACTAAAATTCCTCATCTTCAAAAATACTTTGATGTATTCATTCGGAGCGTCAACATTAATGAAACTTTTTTACACTTTTGTCGTTTACAGATCATGTTCAAATAAACAGTAAGATAATAGCAGGATTTTTGATGAATGAGTGGGAAAAAAAAATTTACAGAACAATAGAATCCCCCATACAAGATGATCCTGCTCTTTCCTTAGGAAGTAAATAAATGCCTCTGGGTTCGGCTGTGATGTTTCCCTCTTTACTCAGGATCAGCTGTCCAAAAGCACCTGAAAATGTAGGAGTTAGTGAAGTAAGTCTGTGGTCACCTTGCTGCAAAACGCTGCTAGGACACGGCGCCCTTCAAACCTCACGGAGGCCCTTTAAAAAAACCAACTCGCTACAGCAGAAGCTCGGGTCAGGGAACACAGCGCTGTGAATATGCATCAGACACACGCAGAGTAATACTGCACTGAAGAGTAGGGACATCTGGCCCACTGTGTGTGGTGTTTACATGCAACCACATCCATCACAGCTGCAGAAACAGGAAACTGCTCAAGATGCTCACAAGCACTGAGGAGCTGAGCTACATTTCCTTTAATTTACAGTCGCCATGGTGAATGTGACACAGAGAACAAACACAATATCTCTAGAGGACACATTAAACAGTCTCCTTATGTATGGAGCAATATCATTCTCCATCATTGTATGGGTAACTGACAGCCTTAATAGCTTAAAATGAGAGCAGCACTTCAGCGGGGGTTATAGGCGTAGGCTGGAAGGTTAGACACCGCAGCTCTTTCGCCTCATTTGAAGCACAGTTTCCAGATAGAAGGTCAATACAGTCCCCCAAAATTTCTGGGGGTCCATCAACTTGCATGGGATCTTTATTTACACTATCCGCTAACTGAAACCTAGCACTTCCCTCTGTTACGAATGTAGGCAAAAAACCACAGTACTGTTAGCAGTACCTGTGACTGTCACCAGAACAACACAGATATTTTCATATAATCTCTATGACAAAAGGATCCTTAGCCTCACAAAACAGCCAGAGGGGTCTGAGGCACAAGAACAGTAATAACTCTGCCTGGGGCCCACATTGGTTAGTTCATTACTCACAAATGCTGTGCAGACACAAGAAGTCACCAATATGCACACGTACAGGAACAGACCACAGCTAGCACAGTACTGCCTTTGTGAAGAACAATGCTCCTAAAATGGAAGACAGATGCTGTAAAACACTGAAGCTAGGCATGCTGAACTCTTCGGTTAGTAGGCATCTCAAAGCGTACACAGAGCTGAACTCTTCGGTTAGTAGTAAAGGTGCACCGATCCCATACTTGGGACTGGAATCGCCACCGATCTATACCTAATTAGACATATCAGGTATTAGTCATATGTTCAATACTTATTTAGTTTTCAGCAGGCTGTAAAAAGTATAGCTCCTATTTGTTGTTAAATCACTTTGTACAATCAATGGCACAACAGCCCTTTCCCATTTTAGATGTGTTTTTGAGGCATCCAAGCTGAAAATTAACGGTGCCACTCAGTCCATTTGCCACTCAGTGGGTGCGAGTGCAGTGACTTCCGCCTGCTGTGACGTCACACGCATATCCTTTGCAGTAGGAGGCGCGTAAGAACATCAGATAAGTAGGTGAATATCTGGAAGTATTTTACATTTTTAAGAAACACAGCGATTTACAATCTTTGCAAAAAAGTTCAGAGGTGGAACCAGCATTTAGTGGATTATCCCACTAAATGAAGCACACATGAGACAACAAGAGTATTATAAAAAAAAGCAATGGATGATCTGGGAGTCACTATAGCTTGGGCTGTTATGCTCAATTGCAACAGCTTGTGATATGGGGGGGAGGGGGCTGCTATTGCTACGAAATATGAGTGACGTTGTTGCCAGTGGGGAAAAAAACGTGGGGCATTTTAAGCATTCGCCACTTGCGTATCCTTGGTTGGAAGATATTCTAATTTAACTGCAAATGCCTCAAAAACACTTAAAACAAGATATACGAATGAACATAAGAAATTTACAAAGGGGAGGAGGCCATTCGACCCATCAAGCTTGTTTGGGGAGAAGTTAACTAATAGTTGTTAAAATCTTATCTAGATCTGTTTTAAAGGAACCCAGGGTTTTAGCTTCCACTACACTAGCAGGAAGACTATTCCATACTCTAACTACACGCTGTGTAAAGAAGTGCTTTGTCAAATCCATTTTAAAATGTTCTCCCCCTAATTTCCACCTATGGCCACGAGTTCTAGTATTTTAACTAATACTGAAGAAGCCATTTGGCTAAACAGCATCCAGACCCGTTAGAATCTTATAGACCTGGACCATGTCCCCCCTTAGTCTCCTTTGCTCGAGGCTAAATAGATTCAGCTCAGCTAACCTAATGAGGTGAAATAGCACGTTATGTATGATTCTAGTAGCCTAATTAAAGCTTTTTTGGGATACATTTTCCATTTGTATTTACTTTTTATTTTTAAATAAAAAAAGAGAGAGAACTGGTATCAGATCGATGTTCATTGGCCGATACCCTCTGATCAGGTATAGGGATTTGTAGCAGCACTGAAAAAGTGGGATTGGTACGCCTCTATTGATAATATTAAAGTAAAAAGAGATTTTATATTGGAATCTGTATCGGCAGTTACGTGTCGGAATCGAATCAGAACTGGAAAAATATGGATCGGCTCATGCCTAGTTAGTAGGTAGCTGAAAGCGTACATAGGGCTGAGCTCTTCGGTTAGTAGGTAGCTGAACGCGTACATAGGGCTGAGCTCTTCGGTTAGTAGGTAGCTGAAAGCGTACATAGGGCTGAGCTCTTCGGTTAGTAGGTAGCTGAAAGCGTACATAGAGCTGAGGTCAAGGCATTGTTTTAATAGACATAAAAGCAGAAACATACAATTTTCCGCTGATAAGCTACTTTTGCAGGACGATGTCAAGCGTGCATGAGGTTTAAGCAGGAATAAGTTAATTGGAGAGGCTAATAATAATTTAAAAGAACTTGGACTTAAAAAAAAGCTAACTAATAATTACTTGTCTTTCCCAATTCTATATTTATAGATAGTGTTGCAAAAGGGCTCAGCAAACAAAAATCTGTATTTTCACATTTTTAAAAATGCTCACTCCCGTTTTTAATATCAACACAATGACGCAAGTTTCACAGAAAACGTTAATCACTTTCTGTATACAGTTTACATAAAAACCACTACAAAAGCTACAACTCAAGATTGTACAGGAAGGTCCTAAACTTTCCTGCAAGGCATTGAAGCTATTTATTTAATCACATCAAGTCACCTTTGCTGGATTTCACACCTTGTAACAGAATAGGACTGGTGCTTAAAAAGTCCATTTACTGTGATGGAAGATAAAGGCTCAAGCCCATTAAACAAATATTAGTGTTACCCTAAACCTGCTATTTACTGACAAATCGGTTCCCCGGTTCTGGCTTAAAGTGACAAAAACGATGTGCATCATCAGCCTAACACCAAAGGGTTATTCTTCCATGTCTGTATTTCAAAAATAAAAAAAAGAAGAAAAAAAAAATCCTAAGATGTGTTCACGGAGGGAACAAGCAGATATTGTGAGATTCAGGTGGTATGTCCCTAACTCCCCCAGCAAGATGCCCCAACTCTGGGTTGTTTTTCAGGCAGGTGGGCACTGAGTGCTCCCCCAATTTCCACTTCCTGGCATTGAGTACGGAGACATACAGCCTAGTCTGAATGGATCCTCAATTAAATGCATGCATGACCCGGTTCCTGTGAACAGAGATGTCCCTGGCAGGGCGTCGCCCCGCTCTCCCTCCCCTTGCAGCCAGCAGTGCCGCTGGCTCAGAAGCCTTGAAGCTCGGGGATGTTCTTGTAGAGATCCAGAGCAGCTGGGTTGGAGAAGGCGCCTCTCTGGCTGACCTCCTTCCCCGCCAACACCTGCTTGACAGCCACCTCCACCTTCTTTCCGCTGATGGTGTACTGTGGAGAAGCAGGACCAGTGTTACTCACGGGGGGCCGGGCCAGTGTTACTCACGGGGGGCCGGACCGCACTCACACGCACCTACTGCTTCACAGTTTCACCTTCAAGTGCAATATTCATGTGTAAAACTCATAATACAGCAGAATGACATGTACAACAAAGAAACAGCATGTAAGCATAATGAAAGGGACACCAACAAAGAGCTGAAGACCAACAGTGGAAAGTTCTTGGTTAAAGACTGACTAAGGTCTTATGTAGGCTTTTAATGCCTGGAAATCATCATCAGAAAAAGCCCAAATTATTGTAAATACACAACTATGTATGCAGTTTTGGACATGTGAGTCTACAGAGCAAAGTATGTGTGTCTGCATGCATCTGCATGCGAATATGAATATTCCTGCTCCTCTTTCCACTTCCCACCTTCATTATTTACTGCTCTTTGGCCAGTTGCCCGGCCTCCCTTAAATCTTATAGACAACACATCTTATTCATGTGTGATTTCTGTAAAACCCAGGCCAGATATTCAAAGCTCCAAAGTTGTTTTCAGCCACATGACTTCAGTTCTAGCTGTGAGATGCAACTGCCGATGAGTGTCCTTTGTCATATAGCTCACACTCATCAGTATGCATCGTGTAAACCGCGGCTTCCCGCATCGCTCCATGCAATTTGCACCGGAGAACAAAATGAGGGCACTTTGAGTTTGCAGAGTACTGGGAAGCAGGTAGCATGCTGCTTAAGCACTAGGGCCAAAAGATCTTCTGTTAAGGTTCTGAGAGGGGCTCTGCCCTTCTACTCTCAGGAGAACTTAACCTGAAAGTGCTTTTGTAACAATACTCAGTGATATAAATAAGGTAATGAGTAAAATGTTGCAATTATCTTCAAGTGCCATTTTTCCCTGATACACAGACACACAATATTAGTGGGAAAGGTGCTCTGGCCAGACACATAAAGACATTGCAAAGCATGGCTCCAATCTGTAGTTGAAGAATCAACTAAATTAAATGTAGTAAAAATTTTACTAAGGCATTAACATTCTATTTGTAGTCAATGACTAAGCTGCTTTTGTCCTGCAGAGCCGGTGATCCACCTCGGAGTCAAAGCACTCATCAGTGAAAGGCAAACAGGATAGCACTTAGGTGATCGACAGTCCCGCTTAAACAAAAATGCAACATCCCATCCACCACGGCAATTATAAAGGAACCAGGCCATCGAATCGCCATTTTCCCCCACTTTCTAAGCTCCCTCAAGTGTTTGCCAACTGTTGCCTTGGTTACCCTACGAAAGGGCGGCAGAGGTTGATGTGACACTGTGTTTCAACCCTCCACTCTGCTGGGCTTGGTGGGGGAGACATAATATATCATAGCTGTCCTGACATTTCTCTCTCAATAATGAAGCACACAGGAGAAATGCAGAGATGCCACCAAGTGTGAAGTGATGCAAAGTGAAAAATACTAACTGCAGCAAAAGTGACAACGGTATGATAAATCTGAATATTAATAATAACAACAAATTTAGGTGGTGTTCATTTTCTAAATAGGGAGAGTCGGCCATAATAACAACGATCAGCCATTTTAAATGCTGCCTCGTGTCACCCAGGTTGACAATCACACAATCTAAGAAGGTCCCGAGGTCTGGGAAGACCCTGGAAGAATCTTGAGGATAAGAAAGTGTCAAAATGGCAGGGAATTCTTGTCAAGCAGGGGACTCTACAATGACTCCTAAGTGGTGGTACAGCCGAGGCCTGATCCCAAATGAAGATGCAGCTTTCAATTTGCTGAGGAAGAGAGACGCTCCTGAAAGCTGAGCCTCAAAGGGTATGCAACACTCTTCCGTACCAGGGCTTTCATAGGGCCCATTCACACTAATATGTTTTCATGTATTATTATTATTTTTAATTATTAACCAAAGCTTTTTGTAATATATTTTTAGAAGTGGTGAGCTTTATATTTTAGTTGTTTGTTGTAGCTCGAGCATGTGTATTTTTAATAATAATAATAACTTTAATAATCCCCGTTGGGGAAATTGTCTTTACACCTCCCTCAACTTGCTCTTTGGTGAGCGAGCTGTCCGCAGCTTAGCCCACTGAGCCACACGCTGCCCCCTAGCAATGTGCATTTAGCAATGCAAACATTTTCTTCCGATTTAGCCGTCCGTCTGCACTACCATGGATCTTTTTTCCCCAGAAAGTTGTCGCTCTCTGACAACTAATCTTTCGGGAAGCACATTAGTGTGGACGCTCATGAACATAAAAATGTTGTTATACCTACGTTAGAGAGTTCAGATTGGTTCATACTTAGCTTGTGACCCATTCCATTAGCTCTCTTCCTTTCCATGCCTCTTTCCCTAATTGGAGGGAAGAATGCTTTGCCTTTGTTTTTACGGAAGTAAGCCACATGTCAACGTGGAGGATGTACAGGACATTTGCTACCTGGCATATGTTGTTTTGCTTACTTGTGTGCAGCTAAATCCTGTTTTGTGTACATTGCATGTTGTTTACAACTCTTATGGAGCTCATAAACAGACTGTACCTGAGCAGAGTTTAACTGTCTAGCATATGATAAAGACATCCACCCATAGAACATTAGAGTGCACTGGAACTGAGGGGAAGAGACTGAAATGTGTGAATCCTTGTGTTATTGCTGTGATGGTTGCTTTGTGTACAGCTTTGTATTAGCGACACTACAGTACTGTGATATTTGCTAGTTGAAGTCAAAATAAATTATTCAAAACTTCTAGAACTATGATTTTGGTTGGACAAAAAACGTGTAAATGACACATGCTCAAGCTACAACAAACAACTAAAATATAAAGCTCACCACTTCTAAAAATATATTACAAAAAGCTTTGGTTAAATGGACAAATGAAAACTGTGAAAAATATGTACGTTAACAGCCACTCTTACAACCTGCGTCATTCACACGGAGAAGATCTTTTCTTTTGGAAACTCCCATTAAAAACGTTATCGTATGAGTGCGGGCAAAGCCTTAGCCGCCATCTTTAAAATCTGAAATGGAGCCACGGCAAACCGGGAGTGCGGTGAACTGTACGGAGAAGTGTGGGAGAAGTGCGGGAGGGCCCCCACCGGGATGTCCTCTGTCTCCAGGATGAAGGCGGGGATGTGCCGGGCGGACAGGCCCATGCGGATGGCGGCGCGGACGCGCTGCACCAGCTCGGGGCAGAATTCCTTATTGGGCGCCATCTTCAGGAAGAGGATGACACGCTCCTCCCCATCGTTGTTGTATTGGGGCACGCACAGGCTGTCGGCCACCTCCTCAAAGGCCTCCACTGAAATTGGGGGAGGGGCACAGAAGAAGCAGCATGTTCATTAATAATGCTAATAATAATTATTATTATTATTATTTAATAATAATATTTGGGGGTTAAGGGCCTTGCTCAATCAGCCACAGACGTAACTATTCTGCTGACCTTCCAATCACAGGCAAAGAGACTCATGGAACAACACGCCACCCCCAGTGTGTATGAGGCATGAACTGCGTACAAACGGGCCTCAGCAGTGCACCGTGTGACGAGAGAACCCAACACAACAAAGGCCTCAGACCCCTCCCCCCTCAAAGACCCTGCAGTGCAGTAGATATTGAAAACTGCGCAAATCCATTTCCCACACCTCTGGTGGAAATACATTTGCATTTACTGTTGCTAGAAAACAAAGAGCGACATACAAGTGAGGCAAATAGCACATTACAAACATGCGGCTGATCTTCCAGAGAATGTCCAGGTACAAGTGTGAGCAGCCCTGGAGCAAGAGATGCACAAAAACTTTCAAAAAAAAAAAAAAAAGAAACTAATAAGTTTGGAGGTTTAACCAAGCAGAGTGTTCACATTGCTGTATTTCTCTATCTTAGTATTGTAATAGTGTGTAAACAGAAGTTCACAACTTCCAGAAGCCTCGCAGTAAACAGATAAACTGCATGTTCAAGTCCCAAGGAGACCTAGTGAAGTTTCCTAAAATAAAAAAAAATGCCTGTGTGTATGATCACACAAATTCTCAGCTTGTATGAGTATTAAACACGTCCAGCCTTGCACATCTGCACAAACTTCTTGATTTAAACTTATAGACTGGCTATCTGTCACATTACTTATCTGACATTAGTCATATTATGCAATATTTTTCATATCTTGCTGACACATACCCACAGTTCTTCGCTTAACAATAAATCAGATAATAAACTGTAAGAGACAGCAAAGTCTCCAGCAGCCCCAAAACTCTTACCGATGTTATAGATTTCAGAGCTTCCAAATCGCACTCCATTGGGATTTAAAGTTCCATCACTGAAAACAGCACAAGAAGAAAAAAATCCTATTAGGACCCTTTACTGATTTCAAACTACTTTAGTAAAACTATTTAGAAAGTACTAGTAAACATCCAATTGTAAAATCAGCTGGCCATTTTAAGAACAAGTGAAATGTCTACTCTTGTTTCATTTTGAAAAGTATCTCCTGGTAACATGCACATGCTTTTAATGGATATGTACAGTAACAGCCCTCATGAGTTACCTTCTACCAAGCATAACAATTCCCCCCGTCTTTGGGTTGATCTTGCAATAATCTCCATGGGCCCACACCCCTAAGAGAAAAAAATAAAAATAAAAAAAATATTATATATATATATATACATACACATATATACAGTATACACACACATATATATATATACAAACACATATACACACACATATATACATATATATATATATACACACATATACACACACACAGATATATATATATATATATATATATATACACATATACATATATATATATATATATACATATACATATACATATACATATATATATATATATATAC